GGCCCGGCTCCGCTTCGCCCGCGCCTTCCCGCCTCCTCGCCCCGCTCCTTCCCCGGAGGCGGCAGGCGAAGGGACCCTCGGAGCGGGCGTGCGGAGGAGACCCGCTCTCCCTCCCCGACTTACCCAGCAGGGAGAGGGCTTTCTGGCCGTCCCAGCGCCTCCAGGCCGCGGCCGCTCCGCACCGCCGGTGGAGCCCAGCGCAGCTGCAGCCCGGCTCTGCCCCCCGCGCGGGGCTGGAAGTCCGGGGAGCGGAGGGCTCTGAAGACCTGGCCGACACCCCGCTCTCCGCCCGTCGGGACCTGGGGAAGGCTCGGCTCGGCTCGGCAGGCGGCCCCGTTCCTGCTGCTGGTTTTTGTTCGTTTTCTTTTTTTTTTTCCCTGTGCTGCCTCGGCCCCGTGTTGTGCTTTTTTTGCGGAGGAGCGGTTGCTGGAGCGAAGGGAGCACGACATTTTTGCAGTCATAACTGATAAGTCTCCGAAATGCTTCCTCCATTGCAAACATGTGCATCTTAATGGAAACCATGGCCTCGCTCCCTCCGTCACAACAAGCGCCGCCAGCAGCGCGGAGCCCGGCGGGGCTGGGCGGCGGGGCCGCCGGGGAGCCCCGCGGGCGGCGTGGGGAGGGCGCCGGAGGGCTCCTGCCTTACCTTAAGAAATCGAGCCAGCCATCATGAATGATGGAGGGGTCCAGCTGCAGGGAGAGGAAATTCTCACTGATTATCCTGACAGGGCTCTTGGTGTTGACATCAAGGAGAATGAGAGTTCTTCCCTTCACACCTGGAGGTTTCTCCACCGGCAGCGCTCTCCTGTCCCCGGCCTGGGAGGGCAGCGAGAAGGTGGCCATGAGAGCCAGCCCAGGTGCCATCAGGGCTAAGAGCCCGGGGGGGCAGGAGCTGGGACAGGGCATGCCGGAGAGCAGGAAACCCCTAATTAACTCGCTGTCTGCAGGGGCTCGCTGGTGGCTAATTGTCCTTATCTAAAGTGTGGGGCGCTCTGCCTTTTTTTGCAATGTTTTGGTGCTGGTGGAGGGGAACTCACGCCCCTGACCAGCCTTTCTCGCAGCCGGTGCCAAGACTCCTTGCAGCCAGCACCGCCCCTTTAAGAGATGCAGGCTCCAGACATTTTTAACTTTTTGAAGGTAAGGGGAGGCTCCTGGTTTAACCCCCTCGGCTCGGGGCCCGCCAGCCCCGCCGCAGCCCCGAGCTTTCGCTTTGCGCCGGCTCCGCCGCCCACCGGCGGCCGCTTTCCGCCGCGGGAGCTCCCGCACCGCGCAAAACCGGGCCGGAGCCGGGACACCGAGACACCGGGGAGCTCCGCGCCGGGGTCGGAGGGCGGCGGCCGCCCAGCACGGCCCTAGCTTGTCGCCGGCTGCAAGAACGGCCCAGGCGGTAAGGCTGCGGGGGCGGCCCTGGCTGGGGGAAAGGGGAGTTAATCACCCCGAAAAAAAAAGCACTACCCGCGGGGAGAGCTCGCCCCGAGCCGAGCCGGGACGCGCGGTGCTGGGCGAGGCCCCCGGGGCTGAGCGCTGACGGCTCCGCGGGACCCGACGGGCGCAGCGGGGCTCGGAGCCGCCGGCAGCCCGGAGCCCCGGCGGGGCACGCTCGCCTCGTCCCGTCCGGAGCCACCGGCTCCGCCGGCCCGCGCA